TGTGGACACTGCGCTTTCTCGCCGCCCTGCAGGCTGCCAGGAAGAACATGCTCACCCTGGATGCAAAGGTGCGGTTCTGCCAATCACACACCAAGCAAGGGATGGCATATGATGGCATAGTATGGCATAGGTTAGACCATGACCTGATGACATATGCATCGCTCTCTCGGTCTTGAAAGCATCTGCCTGGGGCGGATTGGGGCGGCTTTCTTCTTTCTTTTCAAACGATGCAAACTTTCATAGAAAGTTTTTGGCACACTGTTTGCAGGTAGCTTTAGGTTCGCTGTGGGGGGTGCAGTCCTGTGCGAAACATCTCGCCCAAGCCGCTGAGCAGGAAGTCGCAGATAGCAGGAATGACATTGGCAAGCTCATGGAGAACTCGCGACAGTGCCTCTGATGCTTCATGTGGGTTGGCTTGAATGAGGCCCTCGGTTTCCAGGTTGTGAGGGTTTCAAGCCCTATGCTTCTGGATTTCTTGCACTTGGGGGGAAGTTTGCTCCTGGGCTGTTTGGTATCTCCTTTTGCCATGGTTGCCCTGCTGATCATCTTGAGGCAATGCGTGGACATCACGTTAGAAAGAGCACCCGCGCTTGCTGGCGAATGCAACCCAACTCATAGTTCCATCATGCTCCATTCCCTCTTTAAGAGTGCTTCTGACAGTATTTCCGAAGCCCTTCAGGCAGGCAGACCAGAAGCACTCCCTCCTTGCTTTGCGACGCGTCTGCACTTCAGGAGCACCAGACAAAGTTTGGTAGCACACGTTGATGCAGCCATGATGCATCCCCAGGGCGACTGAACCAGAGGTCCCCGCATCCCGAACACAACCGTTGACGGAGAATCAGTCGGTGCAATAGTTTCACACGAGCAGCGAGGTATGGCCTGTATCGCCAGAATGCGGAGGCCACACACCTCAGTTGCAGCTTCAGCTACAGGCTTCAGGCGCGCTTTGCGCCTTGGGTCTCCCTGATGAGGCGCTCAACGAGAAGGCTAAGGCCGAGAAGGCGGCCGAGAAGGCGGCGAAGAAGGCAGCAGAAAAGCCGAAGCCCAGAAAGCTTGAGCCTTGAACTCACATGGCCATGGGGGGCGCAGAGGTTTTGTGAAGTGTACCAGCGAAGGAAGGGCTCAAAGCCTGAGAGATTGTCAGACTGTAAGAGAGTTTGGAGGCGTCGCCCTTTGGTCGGGGTTTGATGTAGGCTGTGCCTGCCAAGGAGAGGCAAGGAACTGGCCGCTGAGCTCAATGGTCTGTTTGGGGCCTTAAGGGCATACTTTCCGATCGGTTCCACGGTACTTGTGGACCTGTGGACAAAGGGACGAGAACACTTGCGCGCTGCAAGCTAAGTGGCCGCGTTTTCTGGTCGTAACCGAAGCGCAAGGACTTAGCAGAACCTCGGCCGCCAGCTCGTACCCCAGTTCAGCGCAACCTTGGCCGCAAGTTGATTCCCAAGCCAAATGGCACGTCTGCATGACACCATGGGGACATGGGCAGTGCAGTGTCTTGCACTCTGCCAGTCCGATTCAATCGTCTGGGGCCAGTTACTCGTGCTGCTGAGGGGCGTGCGATCCGAAATGAGTGAGTTCTCCTTGCGGTCCTCTGCAAATTCCAAGTGCCTCGTCTCGAATTGTAGACTCAGAGCTCGAGGACTTAGCAGTGCCCAAGCCTTCCTATGCTATCCTCAGAGGATCGCAATAGATGTTTGCTTGTACACTAATGGCCCCCCACTCCTGCCGTTCTGAGTCCGAAGCCGACCACCCATGTGCCGTTGCCTCCGCGCGTGAAAGCGTCCGACTTCCGCACGCCCAACATGGCTGCTGCTACGGGTCCCTCCGCGGAATTTCATGAGTGGATCCATTGAAGGGACATATCATATCAGGGAGCATTCAACAGTTCAACAAAGCTTGGTGCGGGTCTTCTTTGCTGACCATGTTGTTCATGTAATGTATGGTTGGTGAAGCGGAGGTTGCTCTTCTTTGATTGTGCAGGCTTGGTTATGCGCCGAACCTCAACCAAGGCCTAGACCTTTCCGTGGAGGATGCCTGAATCTAACGGCGGATTATTGAGAGGCAGCAGCTTGGGATCTATTCGTCTTGGCCTTGGCTGCAATTTTAATCGAGTCATAGAGGTATCCCGGTGGTGAGCTGGCAGACAGTGGATGAGGAGGCTGGGGCTCCCAACCATGAGGTCGTGCGCAGACGCCCTCTTGCTCTTGGAGCAGATGGCGCGTGCGCCCTGACAGGTGAGGGCGCCGTCACCAAAGTCAGTAGAAAATGGGATCAACTTTTTGCTGCACTGGCCCGTGAGGGCTGCCAGTGCAACAGTGCATCCTGGGCAATGCCAGACTGAGTCGATGTTGACTGCCGAGCTTTCCATCGGCCAGAAACAGCTGGGGCCTGCGTGGGAACATCCAGAATGCGTGTATACAAGTAGAACATGTGTTCTCATCCAAAGAGCTAGCCTCGTGCCAGAACTGGCTTCCCAGGTCACTGGACCAATTTTTGTCACAGGGGTCTCACGTGCCTCAAGAAACATTTTGGCAAGTTCTGCCCTGGAAGCATCATGAGGCACATGGTTCCGGCAAATGTTGCAAGCTTCTAGATGAAAAATGTGAAGAATTCATGCCGGCCGCGGCCGTGCAGGATCTTGCGTAAGGCTTTGATCAAACGTTGCACCCATCTTTTTGGGTGCTTTTCTGCACCACAAGGTCCGACCCCAAGGGCAGACCATGTGCGAGTCTAGGTTAGTCGTGGAGGCAGAACACCTATCCTGTAGGCTTATGGGTGCCAGACCATGAGCTCTCTCGTGGGCTTAGGGCTTCTGGTTCGGACCGGCTAGGATTCCTGCCGCCAGACGAGTTGTTGATAGAGGAAGATCTATGGTGGATATATGCACAGTAGAGGCCAGCAGAAGCGCAACCGGAAAACAAGTTTGTTTCAAAGCCTTTTCTGAAAGTCGCACCCGAGCCCGCCCGAGCCCCCCGCAAGGTGTGCGTCCCAACACCGGCAATGCCTGGGCAGGTACCGGAGAGGTGCCAGCGGGTGGCATGCCCCACGAGAATCTATGGCTCTGGGGCACCAAAGAGACCCTTGGCGCTGCGAATGCTGCTTGTGATTTCTCGGTTGTGGGGATCCGAAGGTTCTGAGCTCTGCCAGTCACCAGCAAAGCAAGTGCACACAGCTGGTTGTGCTGCTGAGTTCTGAGTTTCGATGAGTTTCGATTCCGGCAACACGTCGCACAGTTTCGGGCCACCTTGCTAATCGGAACTTACCATAGCCTCATGGTCATGGTGCGTGCACACCGTTTGGGGAATCAGTTCACAGGCCCCTAGACCCTAAACCTTGCTACCCGAGCCTAGGATCGCTGCTGTGGGCGACCGGACGGATCTGGACACAGATGTTGGTTTTTTTGGGGTGGTTTACGGGGAGTTTACCGGGGGTTGAGGGGGAATACGGAGGGTTGACGGGAAGTTCGGCATAGGCTCTGCCTCCCAGAAACGAGCTGAGCCGTCCAGGAAGCCATGATGGAAGATGACGGGACCATGCAGACGATCGACAAGGGTGGAAACTGTCACATCCCCAAACATGGGGTCGCGGAGAATAACATGAAGAGGAAGGGCGCCAAGTACATAACTTGAAGAGGAATCGTGAGGGCGAAGGGCCTAGGTAGCTGGGCAATCCAAGGCTTCCACTCTGCCTGAAGGCAACTTCTGCCCACTGCAAAATTCAGAGTCCCTCAAGTTCTCAAGCCGTGAGCTCCTATAAAACAGCATCGCTGTTTTTGCCCGGCTTGCTGAGGCTGGCTGCCGGTGCCTCTGAAGACTGGAGTCCGGAATCGGACAGCGGACGCCTTACCAAAGCCCCCAAGTTTATTGCCAAGTGAGACGGGCAGCAGGCTTTCGGAAGGGGATCGCCTGAAAGGAAAGATAGTAATAATAATATTAATGATAGTAACAACAATTATAACGGTTATAATGGGATAATAATATTAACTGGAATGCTGCAAGCCAAACGAGGGGCCCTCCCATGCACTCCCGTCTGAGAGGTCCGGAGCGTCGCCATGGGCTACGAGCACTGCCTCATCGTGACGGCAGACTCCCTGCTCGGGGCCTCAGGGTTCAGGGTTCAGGGTTTAGGGTTTAATGGTTAAGGGTTCAGGGTTTAGGGTTTAGGCCCTGCGAGTGAGAGCCAGGTGAAGTACGAAGCCTGTTGCAAAAGGGTTTAGGGTTTAGGGTTTAGGTGCTATTCGTGCGGGCTCACTCACCGGATCTCTCAGGATGTACTCCTGGGGCAATGGCTCGAAAGGGCAGCTGGGCACTGGTTCTATGATGGCGCGGGCCCCAGTATGTAGATAGCTTCCCGTCGCCGTTTTCACTTGCTTTTTGGTGGGCTTGCTAGGGCTTGCACCATGGGACTTACAAAGTGAACGTAGTGCCCGCGCCTGCGCAGCCTGCCGACACCCCGCAGTTCATCACTAGCCCAACCGACGTTCTCCACGTAGCGGCTGGAGAGGACTGGGTTTGCTTGCGCAGGGTTTCGGCGATGGGAGGGGAAGCCGGAAAAAGCCTAGAAGCTCTCCACTCTCCACGTCTGCAGGAGCACTCTGCCTGTCTCATTGAAGGCTCGGCTTGCCGTCCCCAAGATGCCCCCTCAAGATGCCCCCTCAAGATGCCCCCCAAGATGCCCCCAAGATGCCCCAAAGATGGGAAAGGAGGAGGGGAGATGAGAGAAGGCAAGAGAAGGCCAAAGGGACCCTCAGGTGGTGCATGCTTCACCTGGGGCCATGCTGCCGGCGGCCGACTGGGCCTAGGCTCCTGCCTAAGCGACGGCGCCGGAGCCCTAGATGCCTCTCCACATGCCTCTCCACGGCGGCGTTGCCGGAAGCCTCCAGCACCACTGCACGAGCCTACTTCGGGGGGGTGGGGTGGGGGTTTGCAGGGTTACGGATGATGGCTCGGCCCACCGAGGAGCAGCTCATACCGAAGCGTGTGGTGATTGCTGCCACGGAGGTGGGTTCCAGCCCTTGGGCCTTGGGCAGCTTGCCGCTTGCAACAGGAGATCTTTTTGGGCCTTCGGGGCTGGTGTTTCAAATCCAAGCACAGGAGCCGGGTTTCGCGCTGGCCGGGATGACGATGGCTACATCTTTTTACGTTCTAATAGTACTAGATTCTTGTATGCACTTGGTGCCAGAACACGAACTTGCGAGCGTGCTTTGCATGTGGTGCACGCCGCACGCATGGATAACTGGCAGTTCGAGAAACGAAGCAAGGGGCTCCTCACACTGCTCGTGCCGACTGCAGCCGATATGGCTCGGCTTGCGAGATGTTGGCCCTCTGCCCCCACTCCCACGCTTTCCTCTGAGGCACGCCATGGACTTTGGGCCTTTTGCACGGGGTTGGGATCGTGCCTGTTGCACATTTAAACTATCCCAGCCTTTGTCAGGTGGGTGAGCAGCTATGGTGAGGCTGGGAGCTTTTGGAGAGTCAGCTTGAGGACAGTGCTGTTTCATGAGGGGACTCTCATTCCTGTCCCCCTTTGGCCCTTTGAGATACTACTACCCGCACGAGTCCGCCCTGCGGTCGCTGCTGCGATGGCAGTATACACTGACGCGCCTCAGCTCAGAGCATATGGAAGGCGAGAGAGGGAGCAGGTCGGAGTTGCTAGCTACTGGGAGCTGCAAACCGAAAGCAAGAGCAAACTCTCCATCGCTGGAGCTCCTCTCAGCTCCGCACTTCATTTCATCTCCATTTCAGCTCAGCAAGGCAAGTGTCTTGAAGACCTGTCTCCAGGCCATGGCCCAGATTGAACTTAGGTCGAGTGTCTTCGCCATGAAGGAGTTCTGGCTGTACCTCATTTCAGCACTTGTGGAGCGGCTCTCAGCACTTCCCTTCCGAGAAGATTTTAAGCATCCGGCTCTGGAAGACATGGGTTCGGACACCCTGCAGGTCATGGGGCTCATGGATTACGGCTTCGTGCACTTGCCTGCAGGTTGGGTCTATGTTACGGGCGTGGGAGTGTTCAGAGCTTTCATGAAGAGGTGTGGCTGGTCTTGACATCTTCAAGCTTCTCAGCCCTCAGCTGTCCATTACCATCTTCGCACCTCGGTTGCAACAATGTGCGGGCTGTTGTGCTCGATACTACCTCTTGGGACCTTAGCCGTGTAACCCTTGCAGCTGCAAAACCAACTCAAGACTGTTTACGCACAGCAGCCGGGAGCTCTTGAGGCCGTCGTCTTCTACAACAACCAGTGCTACTCCCGATATATGAGCCTCTCAGTGGTGAATGGCTCATTACGGTCAACCGCTTTGTCAAGATGCACGCTGTAGGAGACCTAAGAATGTGCTCACTTGCTGCTTTTGGGCATGCCACCGAAGCCCTCAGCCGCAGCAAGTGTTGTTGATTCCCTTTCATGCGTTCAGGGTACCTTAGTCTAGCATGTTATGTTGCTGCAGCCCAATTAATTCAGGGCAACTTGCAGATAGAACCAGTGCTCCTTTTTTGCTTCCTGTGGTGTGACCACCCACCTGCTAAACCAATCCATGCAGCAATGCTTGGACCTGAAGAAACGATGAGCTGAGGACGCTTAGATTCTAGGTGCTTTCCAAAAAGCCTTACGTGCGCCAATTCTCCGGATGCCCTCGCGCCTAAGGCTTGTACCAGACTTGTGTGGTGCGCGTCCCAGTATTCCAAATCTCTACTGTGGCTGTCAATGTAGGGAGGCATCGGTCCCGCTTGAAATTTGCTGGTCGTCCAAGGAAATTGATGTCAGTGCCAAGCAGTTTGTCTCAGAGCTGCTGATCCACTTTGGAGACGAGCCACATCTGCATAACCATATTGTACAGGCGAGCAAGCACCCTGGCGAAAATTGAGTCCACAGAAGATCCTTCTGTTCGGAGGGGTTGGGCCGACGATACAGTTCTGGGCTGTGCTGGTAGATGATTTTTTGATTTCCCCTCGTTCCTTAACTTAGAATAAGGAAGCCTATCCAACACATACTTTTTAAAGGTAAACAGAACCAGGTACGCCATGGCTGGTGTCTTCTACTTCTACTTGTCCATGGAGGATGTAGAGCCCATGCCGCTGGGCCGCAAGAACTTCCGCAGGTCGTGTGGTTGCTCAACCGATGAAACTGCCGTGCCAAGGACCGACACTTGGAATGTCCTCTTGGAGAAAGGCCTTCTGACACAGGCCGACAAGGACACAGCTCAAGGTTCAAACAGTCGTGCGAGGTGAGGTGTCGGATCTAGACTCGCTGCCGTAAGACGTGGTTTTGAGTCAAGTGACGAAGGAAGCCGTCCGTGATTTTCCAGGGACAGTGCCCGGACCCTAGATGACGTCATACAGCCTTATCCAACTGCCAAAGGTATGTCTACCCTTGATACCATCTCTCTTGGCGTGCGTGCAGCGGGCGCATACCCGCACTTCAAGAAAAGCAGCGCCGCAGGTTCACGCTTCTCCTGCACTGGGCCAGCTACATCGTCAAGGATGCTGTGCGAATCCTTCGTGCCGCTAGCCTTCCATCATCTGTATATTTTTCTGTATGTTGGTTGCCGAAGACTACTGCTTGCTTAAGAGCCCCCAACAAATATAATAGAAGAATCCCTATATTACCCTGATAAGCAAGAATATTGTTTGTTGTTTTTTTGGGGGGTTCTTAAGCAATTACTAGAAGAGCTTCGCCTCTTTGGTCTTCATGGGTTTCATCCCTGCAGCCCACCAACGGGCCGAACACCTACACGGCACCGGAGCTCTCGGCCATGTCGAACCGACGCCCGGGCGTGCTTCAAAGGGAATTTCCGTGAAGGGTTTAGGGTTTAGGGTTTAGGATTTAGGGTTGTTTTTCCTTAAAGCTGCGAACAGATGTGGGCTTTGAAGAAGGACCGGAAGAGAAAATTTTGGTTTGAATGTTTTTGAGCTCGTGTGTAGAAGGGCTGTCGCAGCAAGCCGTCCACGTGCGGCCAGGTATGTACAACATGATCGACATGATGGCTTCTTCAGCGCTTCGCGTTAGGACGGCCTGTGCACCGGTGATGCATCCGAGCGCAGACAGGCCTTCACAGAAAGAGATGGGAGGAGTATCCAGAACATGCCAGTCCCATTCTCGTATTTCCACCTTCTCAACTTGTTGATCTCCTCAACGGTCTTTGCCACAGGCACGTGGGGGGATGTTGTTGGGTTTAGGGTTTAGGGTTTAGGGTTCCGGCAACGCTCTCAGTCCGGCTGCAAAAAGGGGTTTAGGGGTTTAGGGGTTTAGGGGGGTTTAGGGGTACTTCAGAGCCCAGGTTCAAAAAAAGCGTTTAGGGTCAGTCCATTCTTTCAGGGGTGAACACGAGTTTCGCCTCTTCAGTAAGTCTGGTGATGCCCGGCGTGAGACCTGGATGCAAAAAGGGTTTAGGGTTTAGGGGGTAGGCCTCAGCCAGCTCCCTCGAAAGATGCCGGAAGCCTCGCCTGCGTAGCGCCTTTGTTTTATGTATCGTTGTGTCAGCTTTCTTCGGGGCCCCTCATGTACCCCTTCTATACCCTATATAAACCAAGGGCCCGATTTTCAGAACCCTTTGCGGGATGTAAGGGACCATATGAAGGGCCCATAACTATTCTTAGAAACTCCCCTAAACCCTAAACCCTTACTTTGCTTGGAGCTACAATTGAGTGGGAATCTTGCAGATTGTCATAGTGAGAACCTTCCGACCGAATCCTTGCCTGCCTTGTGCGAGTGTGAGAGCCGAAACTCTAAACCCTAAACCCTAAACCCTAAACCCAAAACCCTAAACCCTAAACTTGGGTCAGCCTGAAGTTGCCTCGCAAGGCATCGGCTGCCTTATCCTCGTGGAAGCGCACGATGCGCCGTCCTACTGCTTGGCCTTCCTCCCGCCACTTGCCTCAAGTCCAAGGGTGGTTTAGGGTTTAGGGTTTAGGGTTTATGGTTTAGGCTTTAGGGTTTAGGGTTCTATGGGCCCTGAATATGGTTCCTTACCTCCTGTACAGGGTTCTGAGGTATGGGCCCCTAGGTTGTGTAGGGTATATAAGGGGTCCCCTTTTAAGAGCCCATGTTTCGGCTCTACGTAACTACCCTAGGATCAAGGGCGTTCCTAGTTGCTGCCGCACTGAAGCATTCAGGTGTGTGCCGACTCAGACGCCCGTGCCCAGGTACTCGGTGGTGACCTTCGTGCTGCTGGCCCTTCGCCAGCTTTCAGGCGGGAAACTTGCCAGGTTGCAAGGCTGACAAGAGACCTTGGCAATTTTCCAGCGCTTGACCAATAAACATAACAGTTGACAGTTGAAACCCTCTCTACTTACACTGCAGGAGAGCTTGCAGATCCTTTCGGCAAGGTGCGGGGCAGGGAGATGCGAGATGGTTGAATCAGAAAGAATCAACAAGTGGCAGCCACTTTCATCGCAGCTCCACAGGACGACCTGGACTTTCCCATTGCAGAGCCCTGGCACTGCGGGTGAAGTTGACCGTTCTCATGTGAGATGTATCGCTTGCCTAACCGGGAAGTTTGTCAGCGCCTCTCAGTGAACCCCCCCTGCTTCACAAGCGCTCCAAGGACTTCATGCGTCATATCTATGACAATGTCGTGCCTTCGACGGGCACAACTTGAGTTTCGGAAATTTTTGGGAGTGTCTCTCAACGCCCTGAGGTTCGGCCGACTAAATTGCACATCTCAGGTGGCACTGGAGTCGATTTCGCTCCACCAGAAATGCCCCGCTTCAGACCATGAACTGCTGGCAACCTGCCTCTTGCCTGAAAGCTTCCGACTTCCCTTGCGGTGTCGGCATGGTATGGCCAGGCCGGAGAATGAGAGAGAGAGAGAGAGAGAGCGAGCCAGCACGACGTTTTGGGGAGAGAATTAAGGAGCGACGAAGAATAGGAATCACCACTGACTGCACCAAGCCGGACCGCGCGGAGTACGCCGCGGGGGTCTCCCCTCGAAGCCCCTAGAAAGACAGGAAGGAAGAAGAAAGAAATCACTAAAGAAAGAGGCAGAGAAAAAGAGTGTAGCTGCAT